AGGGTTTAGGCTTTGGGGGGTTTAGGGTTTAGGGCTTTGGGGGCTTTAGGGTTTACAGTTTAGGGCCTTGTTTAGGGTTAAGGGTTCAGTGTTTAGGGCTTCGGTGGTCTAGGGCCAGGGCAGGAGGTGAAGGGCTGAGGGTTTGGGACTTAAGGGGGTTTTAGTCATCTGAATTCTGGGTGTTGGGGCTAGATGATACCACCACGTGGCAGCATCTCGTAGCATCCTGAATGCTAGAGAGTTGGGAACTTGACTATTGTTGATGGTTCGGACCACATTCTCGTTGCCTAACGAATAGAGTTTGTGATTTCTTAAACTTCCAGATCATGGCTGTAGGGCTCACGTAGAACTAAGCTACCTTAAGATTTGCAGGAATGATTGGAGCTTTTGCCTAAACCCCCTGAGCCTCCTCAAAAGCGCTCTAAAAACCGTAAGGGTCCATGTACCCAAATAGTATATACTTTGGCCTTCACGCAGGCCCTATAATAGGTACTTTGGGGCCAAAGTATATAATTACTTTGTTTTACATGGACCCTTACTACTTAGGGAAGCCCAGCACTGTGACAGACCTGCACACGAGAGCTGCGCCGCGCCGCCGGGGCTCCAGATGTCGCCTCCGGGGCGGTTTTACTGGCGGCTCTGGGCCTCTAAGGTAAGGTTTAGGGTTTAGGGTTTAGGGTTTAGGGTTTAGGGTTTAGGGTTTAGCGTTTAGGGTTTGGGTTCAGGGTTTAGGGTTTGCGGTTTGGGGTTGCGGGTTTATGGATTATGGTACAGCATATGGCCGGAAGAGTTGGCACTGCGATCCCCATGTAAAGACCCTGAATAGCCATGGCATAATAGACCCCACACCACCTATTCGGATCATTAAGGGCCCCTGTCTTCGAACCCCTGTAGTCTACTTCTAGTAGCCCACCCTTGTAAAACCAAGTTAGCTCTGAACCATAAACCCCTAAACCGCTTAAACCCTGAACACCTAAACCCTTAACCCTAAACCCCAGACCCTAAATCCCAAACCCTACACCCTAAACCCTTAACCCTGAACCCTTAACCCTACACCCTAAACCCTTAACCCTAAACCCTAAACCATAAGCCCTTAACATTCTAGCCCTAAACTCTGTTAGGAACCCTCTTGAGCCCGCTTTTTCGACCAGTCTTAGAAGGGCGAAGCCGTCGGAAGCCGGCCTTGGCTGGCCGCTTGCGCTTCCTCTCCGGCGACTGTGGGCCTTGCTGTGTGTGGTAGTATTATCACAAAGAATAAGAATAATAATGGTAATAAAAGCAATAGCAATAATAACATGATGGTAGTAATAAGAATAAGAGTATCAATAACAATAATCTCCCAAAATTAATATTCTGTGCTTTCTCGGTGTGCGTTGGAGGTTCTGTTGGGCGTTTTCGTGCTTTTCTGTTCTATATGGAACTCTGTGATTTAAGTGGTTCGTTGAAGGTAATCGTTTTGTACTTTTTCTGCGGGGTGATTCATTACGTGTTTTAGGTTTGTTTGGAAAGCTTATTTAACCAAGGTGTGTTCGAGCTGTCTCGGGCTTTGTTTAGGAGTCTTCGTGGCTCGGGATGTTAAGCTAAACCCTATGCCCAAACCCTAAACCCTAAACCCTACACCCTAAACCCTAAACCCTGTGCCCAAACCCTAACCGGGCTCAGGGCACTGGGGGCTTTAGGCCATCGAGTTGATCGCTTTGGGGACTTTGTGCAAAAAAGGTTGAGGGTTTGGAGCTTGGGCTGGTAAGGCTAGAGGGGATTAAAGGTTTAGGGTTTGGGGTTTCGGGTGTAGGGCTAGAGGGGATTAAGGGATAGGGGTTTATAGAATATGTTGTAATGTGGGATAGGAGCTTTTGGAAGCGCTGCAGCGAAATCGTATGATACGGGTTTGAATGACATCTGATGTTATTCCCCTGAAGACCTTTTAAACTTACAACGTATCAAGACCCTAATCGTTCTAGTTGCAAGACCCCCGAAACCCTGAAATAAAATAATCTTCAACCTTCGAGACCTTGCACAACCTCTGCAAAACCCTGTAACGCCCTAGATCACCCTGTTGGAACAATTAAGCGCGCCCTTGCCCCAAACCTCCATGCCTAAACTCTAAATCCTAGACTCTGAATCCCAAACCCTTGACCCCAACTTACTAAATTTCACATTCGAAACATATGAACCCTAAACAACACGATACCCCTGACTCTAAACCCTACAAGCCCTAAAGCAGAAGCCAGAAAGTTGGAACACCAATATCCTCATGGCCTTAAAATAAAGTGTAATAGGGATCCTAGACCAATCCTCCTAAACCCAGGCTCCAACTTTCTGGGGCTCACTGTAAACCCTAAACCCTAAACCCTAAACCTTAACCCTAAACCCTAAACCCTAAACCGGGGTTCACCGTAAAACAAAAGAAGCTCAGCTCTCTGCTGTCTCCCTCCTTCAATGGCGCCGGGGGCTTCCGCTTCGGTGTGCTAGGCCTGACAGAGCTGAACTTCCGGTTTCCGGGTTTAGGGTTTAAAGTTTAGGGTGGGGGGATTAGGGTTTAGGGTTTAGGGTTTAAGTTGGCCCTTTAAGGCCCCATGCAAAATATTCGTAGATGAGATTCCTCTTAAGACCGATGGGGAAACATAGGAACTGTCCCAAAGGCCCACTTAGAGGTTCAAGGGTGTTTCGGTTTTAAGGGGTTTGGGTTTTTTGAGGATTTAGGGACTTAAGGTGTTTGGGGTTAAGAGTTTATAGGGGTTTGATCGTTTAAGGCTTTAGGGGCTTGAGGCTCTCGGGGTTTTAGAAATTATAGGGGTTTGGGGTTTAGGGTTTAGGGTTTAGGGTTTAGGGTTTAGGGTTTGGGGGGTTCAGGGGTTTGAGCATTTAGGGCTACGTTTTATGAACGTGTTGCCTTACCAGAGCATTCTGATTGAACGTCCAGAGGTCACTGGTTCATTTTGGGGATGCGGGTAGGTTGCGGTACTCGAAGGATCAACCTAGCCTCACTTAGTATGGCCTTTAGGTTCAAAAACCCACTCTTGCAGCATTAGAGCCTGAGGGATGGGTGGAGGAGTGGGCCCTTAGAGGCTTAGGGGGTATGTCATGCACCCTAAACCCTAAACCCTAAACCCTAAACCCGAAACCGCAGGAGTCTACATACTGGAATACGCTCCCGAAGCAAGCCACGAGCTATTACAAGACGCCGTCATTCTTCTCCTCCGATGCCCATGAGACCCAATCCCCTAGACCTAGTTGAACCTCAAATAACCTATCTTTTTGGGGTGTAGGGTTTAGGGTTTAGGATGCCGATGGGCTCCCATCCCCTAGACCTAGTTGAACCTCGACTAACCTATCTTTTTGGGGGCTCCTTTGTTTGTCTTCCGTCTACCAGTCCTTAATAAAAGCAGGTAGGTACTTTAGAACCCAGGTAAGCTCTGGCCGAACCCAAAATGGACAACACCAGCTGTGACTCCAAAAAGGGCTCTTATCTGAATACACAGGTCTCAAGATCTAGCAGTGGTCGTCCCTGACAGTCCCTACATATCCGTACGAGCTTTATACCCTTAGGCCCCATAATAGTTCCTTTTGGTGGCTTATATTTAGGATCCTATTAGGTAATCCTAAAAAGGAGCTACTATGGGGCCTATGGGTAGACCCCAATGCCCTAGTCTCATGTATCAGGCCTTAGCTCAGAGCAACCCAATGACGAAACTCAAATGTCTCTGTTTTAAAAGAAGCTACAGGTGGGGAGTTTAGGGTATATAGGGCTTCTATAAGGCTTCCATAAGGTATATAGACCTTCTACATGTCTCCTATAACGGTAACTACCCACCTGAAAATGTCCTAGACTGTTCGCAACCACGGTCAGACAATACACATAACGCCATGAACAACAGAACAGGAGTTAGGAGTTTCAGGACATGGGGGACATTTGTAGACTCAAGGTAGTCGGATCATATCAAGACCAGGCCCTCGAACCCTGAACCCATAAACCCTAAACCCTGAACTCTAAACCCTGAACGCTAACCCCCTACAACCTACAACCTAAAACCCTAAACTCTAAACCCTAAACCCTAAGCCCCTAAAACCCTAAACACTAAACCCTAAACTCTAAACCCTAAACCCTAAGCCCCTAAAAACCCTAAACACTAAACCCTAAACCCACGCCGCCGAGGCGCGCAGGCATGACAGTGCTGAGGGCAGGTGCGCCAGCGGCCTACCGTGGAGCTTCCAGGATTCCATGCAGGGGTCATGAAGATGACGGGATTATAGGGTTCAGGGTTTAGGGTTTATGGCTAAGGGTTTATTAGGGTTGAAGGTTTATAGGGTTTAGGGTTGAAGGTTTAGGGTTTTAGAGGTTAATCTCCGGAGGAGGTATTGAAGTCTAAAACCCAAAGGTGTAAAACCCCAAAACCTCAAGCACCCAAAAGCGCAAAACCCTGCAACTCCAAAAGGCCGAGCCTAAGCTCCGAGCCAAGCGGAATAGGGGCCTTGATATTAAGACTAAAGTTTACAGCTAAGGGTTTCAGGATAGGTTGTTGTATATCAGAAAAACTGGAGCCCTGTTCAACCAAGAGTTTCGGACTCTATTATATGGGGGTTTCCGACAATACGGGACCCTAATATATACCCTAAATAGTAGGCTCCTTATAAAAGGGACACCCAAAAAGGGTACCCCTTATTCTCGGAAACACAAAGCACTACACCCTAAACCCCATATCACAATACCGAGCAAGCGCGACAGTTCGAAACCTGCCGAAGACCCGCCAGACGCCATAAAGCCAACGATGTTCTGAAGCCTTACATGGGTTTAGGGTTCAGGGTTTATGGTTTAGGGACATGACGATAAGAAGACATTGAACCAGATCAGAATCGTGCATTCTGAAGGGAAAGAACCTCCACTGGACGTTCTCAAGTTGCATATCTAGTGTTAGAGCGACAGTGTTCCTTAAACTCTGTAGAAGCTCTGTAGTACCCAGAACCGAGTAACCTACTTTCCTAAACTCTGTCCAGGAAACAATCACTCCTCAAACCCTTATCGTCCAAGTTTGTACTCAACGAAAGCCATCATGGTCCTTCCTCCCAAAACCCAAACCAGGCCACACTAAACATGAAAGTTGGAAGGAAACGATGGAAGACAAGTTTATCAGTTCATGAGGTACTGGACTTTTTGGATGCGAATCTTCCCAACTTTGCGGCTGCAACTGTATAGTTCTACAGGTCTATGAACGCGACAACAAACAGATCCCAACCGCCGCACACCAAACACTCTAAAAGTGTAGGAACCCCTGATTAGTACAGCCCTCGGTCTTTCTTAGAGCCGTAAACAGTAAGATCCCATGATTTCAAGTCTCCACCCAAAATCCGGTTTAGGGTTTAGAGTTTACCCATAAGCCCCATAGTGGTTCCTTTTTGGGATTACCTTATAGGAACCTAAATATGAACCCCAAAAGGCAACTACTATGGGGCCTATGGGTAGGGCCCAAAACTCACAGTTCGCCAACCTCCGCGAGTCGCACCGCATTGCGGCGGCGTGCCTGGAAGGGGGGCGAGAGATGCGAGGTGTGTGTCGGTTTAGGGTTTAGGGTTTAGGGTTCAGGCTTTATAAGATCTTCGAGCTTCAGGGTTTAAGGCTTAAAGGATTCACCATCTGCTGGCAACCAGAAACCCTACAAAGCAGCGGTCATCCGTGTTCTAGGGTTATATGTGTGTATATCTATACACAAAATCTATCTATTTATTTATAAGGTTTAAGGAAGCGCAGCCCGCAAAATAGGAAACAGGATGCAACAGGGCTTCTGGGCTTGTGTATAAGACGATATTTCCACCCCTCGAGAACTTGCCCCAAGAGTCCTATGTACTGCTATAAGGGCTACTTCCCTAAATCATAGTTGGAATTCCTAACATAGCACTCTACTATATAGGTGCATAGGACCCGTCGGGTTGCTACATCCAATCACACACAGAGTTGCAAGATTTCAGACTGCCAAGGGTTGCACGGCTCTGGAAATTCGACAGTTTCGGACTGCACTGTTGCTTGTCGAGATTAGGGTTTACAGGGTTCAGGGTTCAGGGTTTAGGGTTTAGGGATTCTATATGGCTGTAGGGCACCATTGCTCTATGTAGCGTGTTGAAAGATTGATTTCTGATTAGCGTTCTTAGGGGCATATCATTTAAGCTTGATCTATGTTTTACGTTTGGCGGGGGCAGGTGCTTGTCTTGTACATGCATCATGAATGTTAACGTGCTTTCGCTTAACGCCACTCTCATTCATCTCAATCCCTTTGTAGAACCCGCATGACCCGAAGCCAAAACACTCTCCAACTCCCCTGAAGTAAGAAAACCCTAAGCCCGAATTCGAACGTTTTTACAGCATATATTGCCGAGAGGTGCGAAGAGCATACGCAAACCCAGCTGAGATACTGCAAAAAGCAGGGCAATCCACATGTAGCCCCCAAAACCCGAAACCCAAAACCCGAAACCCAACACCGAAACAAAACCCGAAACCCAAAACCCCAGAGCCCCAGACCTCGAACCCCAAACCCACCCACCCCAAACAAGGGCCTGATGGATGGATCCCCACCGAGGTCCAGCAGCCCAAGTCTTAACCTGGGGCGGGGGTTTAGGGTTACGGGTTTAGGGTTTAAGGTTTCGGGTTTAGGGTTTAGGGTTAGGGTTAAGGTTTAGGGTTAGGGCTTAGGGTTTCGGGTTTAGGGTTTAGGGATTAGGGATTCGGGTTGAGGGTTAGGGTTAGGGTTTAGGGTTTAGGGTTTAGGGTTTGTGGTGTGGAATAGGGTTTAGGCCATAGGGGCCGTAATTATTTGAACAACGTTCCTGTAAAGGTTCCTTTTCAAGGGTTCGATCAAGGCTTCTGAAAAAGGGTACTAAAGGATTTAGAAACAAGGGCCTTAATTATTAGATTACGACATTGGGGCATATTGATCGTATAACTGTAAGAAGGAAATCTGAGGAATAATGTTGGCAACTATCCCGGCTTCTATACTACCGTTGGGGTTTAATTAGGATTTAAGGATTTGAGGTTTTTAGTTTACAGTTTGGGGTTTGGGGGTTCAGGGTTGAAAGGTTAGGGTTTTGGGTTTTGGGCTTTGAATTGACCTTTAAGAACCCTAAACCCTAAAGCGTTGATTTGAGCTACGGATTTGACTTCTCTGCAGGCCAATGGTCGCCTCTTGAAGCTGCGGGCCTGTATATATCGCTCTTCAAATAGAGCTGGTGTGCCTTTGTGTTCATAAGGGTAGTTGTCAAAATTATGGTCCCTTTTGGGGTACCCTAAATAATAGGTGCCGTATTATAATAAGGACCCAAAAGGGACCATAATTTTGACAACCACCCATAAGGGGGATAGTAGGGGCTTGTAATGCAGGTGTTCCTTAATCGGGCGCTTAACGTTCGGGTCTTAGCGACGGCAAGGGAGTGGTTTCCTGGATCTCAGGTGTCCGCCGATAACGACAGACAATAGTTACTACTCCCATGGAAGCTCATCCCTAATATAGGGGCCTGAATAACTACCTATGATATTTTTGAGCGGTTTTTATTATAGTATACCAGAAAACCCTATTCGAATTATTAAGGCCCCTAGATAAAAGGACGACTTCGAGTTGAGGTCGACCCATTCTGAGGGCCCAACGTTGACCTCGCCAACCCATTGCCCCTCCGGCCTGACGACAGGGCCCATGAGGGTTTAGGGTTTAGAGTTTAGGGTTTAGAGTTTAGGGTTTACATTCATCAGATTGACGATTTAGGGTTTAGGGTTCAGGGTTTAGGGTTTAGGGCATCACATTCCCAGAAACTCATATATACTGCCATTATGGAATTAAATTAGGTCCCTAAAGCCATAATCAGCATGGTCTTATGGGACCTAGTTTCATAATGGGAGTATATATGGAGCCTCTAGGATTGACATGTATGGAGGGCAATATCCAAAGGCCCCATGGTAGCTCCTTTTTGGGATTACCTAATAGGATCCTAAATATAAGGCACAAAAAGGAACTAATTATGGGGCCTATGGGTGGCTCCCTCGAGCTTCGACCAAAATTGAAGAACGAACCTTTTCACACACATGTCCTGGCAAAACACGGAGGCGGGCCGGGTTTTCGATGGGAGCTAGTTGTTGTGAGAACATGCAACTTGAACTGTGCATGTCTGCTTTGACTTTGACTACTACACGCCGGAGGACGCAAATTCCTAAAGCCATACATACCCACCCTAAACGCCAAGCCCTAAACCCTGAACCCTTAACCCTACAGAAAGGGTTAAATCCTCACTACTATATGGCTAGTTCAGGGGCCGTACTATCTTGGGGACCTAAAAGGGCACCCTATTTTGGAGAACTACCGATTTGGCCCAACCTAAACCCTAACTACTCTATATATATATATATATATATTTATTTATTTATTTATATTTATATACATACATACATACATACATACATACATACATATATACACACTCCCCAAGGCCCCTCAACTCAGGCCCCGAACGGTCCCGCATCGAAGTACTGAACCTGGCCGGCTGCTGAAAGATTGGTTTAGGGTTTGGGGTTTAGGGGTTTAGGGTTTAGGGGTTCAAGGTTTGGGGTTCGGGGTTTAGGGTTTAGGGGTTCAGGGTTTAGGGCTTGATGATTGGGGGTTTAGGGCGTATTCGCACTTGAATCCTGAGCTACCGACCCGAAAAGCACTCGTTCATGTTCAGCGCGGTTGAGGGTTCAGGGTTTAGGGTTCAGGATTTATGGTATAGGGTTTAGGGTTTAGGGTTTGTCAGCTTTCTGGTTATGGCTTCCTGCCAAACTCCTGTAGAACCCTTCAAGGGGCCTCCAAACCTTCAACCCCAAATCCTAAACCTCTAATGAACCCCCCAGAGCCATATAGACCCTAGACCCTAAACCCTAGACCCTAAGCCCCTAAACCCTAAACCCTAGACCCTAAGCCCCTAAACCCTAAACCCTAGGCCCGAAGCAAAGAGAAGCCGCGCCGGTGCGGCCCAGTACGGCCGCGGGTCCGCAAGGGAGCAAAAGTCGATCCGGACCACTTGGGCCTTGGTAAAACACTGGTGTTACTGTAGGGTTTCAGGGGTTCACGGTTTTGGGTTTGATAGGGTTCCATGGTTCTTCTTGTGGATTTAGAACTCATTTGTTTATAAGCTGTCGGGTTTCGTGGTGATTTCAGCAATTATCGGCAAAGGGACCGGTAAGTAGAGGGCTCACTAGAGGCAGCCAGAGTAATACACCGTGGCTTGAGGTTTCTACACCCAAAATCATGCAATAAGAGGGAAGCCTGGGGAATGCTGGTACTACCAGTAGTCTCCATTGTAGGTCTTTTCTTGGTTTAAACCATGTCATGTATGTTTGGGATCCTATAAGGCAACCCCAGAATCGGTACTACAATGGAGAATACAACTATCCCGACCGGCATGGTTTGTTGGGTTTGGAGCTTCGGCGGCTTGGCTTGAAGTGTAGGTTCCCAGAATCCCCTTATTCCACCACCAAAAGGGTCCATTTGGGCACGAAGAGTATACACTTTGTAGCTATCATATACTCTATACTGTTGCTTGGACCCCTTGCGTAATTCCTCTTACAAGTACCTTTCTTCCGAGTCATCAGCTTTCATAAAAAGACTTGCAACATAGAATGGCAATAGGGTGGAGCTAGCATCCCACCCTTACATCGCCCTTCTAAACACCCTTAACCCCAACAAAAACACCAAAACCCTGAACAGACCACATGAAGGAGCCCTGAAAGGGGACCAAAAAACCCACAAACCCTAAACCCTAGTATTTTAGAAATCTAAGGCCTTGCCCTCGGGGTGGAGCTGCGAACCGAGCGCAGGGCTGGCCAGGGATGGGCTTCTCCAGTGCATTGGACCCAGCAGAAATCATCCACCTTCGGGTTGGAGATTAAGAGCATCACCCTAAACCCGAAACCGTTAGGGGTTTCCTTTTTTAAGGGTTCCATAAGGGTGCCTTAAGGGTTTGGAGCTTGGGGTTTCGGGTACGAAGGTCCATGTGCCCAAACAGTATATACGCTGTGGCCCCAAAGTACCTATATAGGGACTACTTTAAGGCCAAAGTATATACTATTTTGGGCACCTGGACCCTTAGGGTATACTGTCGAGGGTAAGGATCCTGCTGTCGTTGGTGCCTATATAGGGTCTCTTGATTCTGAGAGTGCCCCACCCCCCCAACCCCCCCCCCCCCCAAAAAAAAAAAAAAAAAA